TCCCCTTCCTTTTTGGGGTTTGGAGGTGCCCAGATGAGGCCCAGCTGTGAAGCAATGCAAGCTGCTGTGGGGCCTTGGGCCTTCTCTTGGAAGTTCTGGGTCTGTCTGGCACAGCTGCAATTTGTTAGGTAATTTTCAGATTGCAAAGGGCCAGGGCATTCATATGCAAAAGCCTCTGCCGCAGCTTGGGTGGGGCAGGGTCTGGGAATCAACAGGGCAGAGCAAGCAGCTATGGCTGATCCTCAGCCCTGCCCTAAGAGGCCCTGAGTCTCAGCGTCCCGGTAATCACTGCAAGCACTGCTGAGAGAAAGCCGCCCTCGAGTTCTGAGTTCTGCCCGCTGCCAGACAGTCCAGTTTCTCCCTGTATGAGTCCTGGGTCCCCAGAGACTCCCTGGAACTAGAGTTCAGAGCAGTCGGGAGCTTGTGACTCCCTCCTGATTCAAAAAGACAGCCGCGTCCTCAGGTGCCAGCCCCTTTCTGCGGGCGCTTGAGCCTCCGTACCTCTGCACTTTACTTCCGCAGCTCCTCTGGGTCTCAGTGTGCTTTTCTTTCCTTCTAGTTGTAGAATTTCCACTCAGCCAGCCTTCCTGTGGTTCTGGGTGATGTCCGTTTTGTCTTTTCATTGTATTTTTGAAGTTGTTGTGGGAGGCAGCAATTTCCAGTGTTTACCTATGCCGCCATCTTGGTTTCTCCCACTATTTCCATTTTTTAATGTTTCTTAAAGATTTTGTTTGTTTTTTAAGTAAGTTTTTATTGAATTTTAGAAAGAGAGGAAGGAAGAGAGAAATAGAAACATCAATGAGAGAAAAATATCAACATCTAAAGGCTGCCTCCTGCATCCCTCCCTCCACTCCTCCAGACAGGGATTGAGCCTGCAACCCAGGCATGTGCCCTGACTGGGAATCGAACCAGTGAACTCTTGGTGCATGGGTTGACACTCAACCACTGAGCCACACTGGCTGGCGTTTCTTAAAGTTTTGTTAGTAGTCCCAGGTAGTAGTAATCTCTGGATACTCACATTTTGCTGTGTCAAAAGCATAAAGCAAATTTACAGTGAGCCATAATCTCCATGGAAAACATCATGGAAAAAAAACTAGAAAAAAACAGTAGCTTGGGCCAGGCAGCTTTAGAAAACTGTGAATCTCTTGAAATTGTAAACAGCATTTTAATATTGTACATTTTGTTTAGGAAAAGATCCCTTGTTTTCTTAGGATTTTTGAGGCCTGATCATAAAGGTTAAGAACCAAGGATCTAGGGGCAGAAAGGAATGTTATTATGACTCTTTGGGATTTGGTTCAGATTATTCAGAGAAAGTGCAACTGTCATATCTAGGCAATAAATACTTTAACACATTTTTTATTTTTATTAAATAAAATATTTTTAAAAATACATTCTAGGAAGTTAATATTAGTATAAGTATCTCTATATATAAAGACCCAGGGGCCATCACATCTGAAACAACCAAACAGATGACCGAACAGGCTGAGTGGTGCGACAAGGCCGGCAGGGGGGTTAGTGTGGGCCGACCAAACAACTGAATTCCAGGCTGCGTGGGGTAACCAGGCTGGCAGGGGGGTTAGTGAGGGATAGCCAAACGACTGAGCAGCAGGCTGTGTGGGGTGACCAGGCCGGCAGGGGGGTTAGTGAGGGATAGCCAAACGACTTAGCAGCAGGCTGTGTGGGGTGACCAGGCCCGCAGGGGTGGCAGTGAGGGGCAACTAGACTGGCAGAGGGTAGCAATGAGGGGAGACCAGGCTGGCATGGAATGCAGTTGGCAGCAACCAGGCCAGCAGGGGGGCAGTGAGGGGCAACCAGGCCAGCAAGGGGCGCATTGAGGGGTGACTAGGCCAGCAGAGGGGGGCAGTGAGGGGCAACCAGGCCAGCAGGGGGTGCAGTGAGGGGCAACCAGGCCAGAAGGGGGTGCAGTGAGGGGTGACTAGGCCAGCAGAGGGGGACAGTGAGGGGTGACTAGGCCAGCAGAGGGGGGCAGTGAAGGGCAACCAGGCTGGCAGGGGGCATTTGGGGGCGACCAGGTTGGCAGGGGGGATAGTTGGGGGCGACCAGCCTGGCAGAGGGGGGCCGTTGGGGGCAACCAGGCCAGGAAGGGGGGGCAATAAGGGGCAAACATGCTGGCAGGGGGCCAGTTAGGGGCGACCAGGCCGGTCAGGGGGGAGCAGTTAGGGACGATCAGGTCGGCAGGCAGAGGCGGTTAGGGGTGATCAGACTGGCAGAGGGGCCTCTTAGGGGCGATCAAGGCAGGCAGGCAGGTGAGCAGTTAGGATCCAGTGGTCCTGGATTGTGAGAGGGTTGTCCCGGATTGGAGACGCTGAAGGCTGGGCTGAAGGGACAGCCCCTCTCCCCTCCTGCCCGCCCCCCCCCCCCCCGCATGAATTTTGTGCACCGGGCCTCTAGTTATACTAATAATATTCATTATTTTAGGATTATGCAAATATATTCATTATTTTAGGATTATACAAATGCGGCACTAAAGAAAAACTTAAACTCACCTAGTTACATAGATGAATGAATTTGAATGCAGAGGACAAATACCTTGCTTGAGCATGTACCAATAGTTTAATAAAAAAAAAGTAGACTGTAGACAGACTTCACTGGTTTGACTTCTTGTCCAGTGTCCTTTCAGTTTCAATAATTTATTTGAAATTTTTTTCTCATTTCAGTAAATCTCAGGGTGAAATGAATTAAGAAGTAGATATTTTATTTCAGAGTTCTTGTTGAAATTAATCAAGATTCTATAATATAAGATATCTCTAATTTTTCACTTCATATTTAAGTCAGCTGCAGTGTAGTTTGTTAATGAGCTGCTGTCATTCTTAACCTTTTATAGTTAGCTTATAATTATATTTGTCACACAGAATAGATTTTTACTGTGGTCCAAAATTTAAAGCACTTATAGTTTAAATTCTGTTTGTCCATGAAATTATAATGTAGTAAAATCCAATCTACAGAAAGTTTCAGTATTTAAATTAATGTAATTTCTTAGCTGCTGTCCTGCAGTTAAACATTGTTCTATGAGACTTGCTTTCATAAAAAAGAAGTTTAGAAAGATTTAAAAATGCATAACTGATGTCAGCACACGGTATTTATTTTATGTAGTGTCATTTAAAAATCTACAAGTTAATTTGGAGAGGGATGCATTTTAATGTGATTAGCAGTACAGAGGCTGTATAGTGTACTTGCTTTTCTATTTATTTCCTCTAAGTGGGGATTTTACACCAAACCATTCCTTTACAATGTTTTCAAGACCTTTCATAGATGGTGTTTCTTTCACTAAGACACTTTTATTTCTCATCCTTGCCCTCTTTGGCTCTAGGACCTCTTCCATTTTTAAAAAATATTATCTTTATTGTTTAAAGCAGTGGTTTTCAACCTTCTGGCCCTTTAAATACAGTTCTCATGTTGTGACCCAACCATAAAATTATTTTCGTTGCTACTTCATAACTGTAATGTTGCTACTGTTATGAATCGTAATGTAAATATCTGATATGCAGATGGTCTTAGGCGACCCCTGTGAAAGGGTCGTTCGACCGCCAAAGGTATCGCGACCCACAGGTTGAGAACCGCTGGTTTAAAGTATTACATATGTCACCCCCCGCCCCCCATTAATCCCCCTCATCTCCACTCCCATCCCCCCCCAGGCCTTTACCCCACTATTGTCTGTATTCATGGGTTATGCATATATGCATATAAGTTCTTTGGTTGATCTCTCCCCTCTGCCCCCTTCCCTCTGAGGATCCTCAGTCTGTTGCATGCTTCCATGCCTCTGGAACTCTGGATCTATTTTGTTTGTCAGTTTATTTTGTTCATTAGATTCCACATATAAGTGTTATCATGTGATATTTGTCTAGGACCTCTTCTTGATTTCTTTCTAACTGCCAACTCTAGTTTTTTAGATTATATTACACTTAAATCATCCTTTACCCTCCTGTACCCATCATCTCACATTTTACATGTTTAACTTGTATATATTCATGGTTTTCTACTCTGATTTTATAGTTTTATACCTTAGTATAATATGTCTGAATGCAGGTTTATCTAACCTTTGTATCTGTATTGGTTACATCCTCCTAATTTTAGAAGCACCTTATCAAAGGGAAGGGATGTGGAAAATGTTAGGTAGTGCAGATGATTGGAGAGAAAAAGCTTTCTTGATTGCTGCTGTATCCTCAGCTCCTAAAACAGTGCCTAACATGTAATAGATGCTCAATAAATATTTATTGGAAGAATGAAGGAATAGTGTTTATGAACTAGAATTATTCAACTTCCAAAAGGGATGTCTCAGGAAAGATGAAAATTGGTATATGATTGATATATGGGTTAATTAATGGAAAACATTGACAATTATTTATATTCACTGGTGGCTTTAAAAGAATCAGATTTTGACAATAAAGGTTTAGATTTATAACTTTCATACTTGTTCCTCCCACTACCACCACATATGTGTGCATACACTCACATATACACATACATTATTTAGTCACCAAATTCAATTGATCCTTCTTGCACTCCTCTTCCCCATCAATTCTTTGCCTCTTCATTGGTTTCTTTACCTTCAGTATCTTAATCTAATACATTTGCAATTAGAGTTAATTTTCTGAAACAAAGTTAATTGTGCACCTTTAATAGCTAATAGGATACACAACCCTTTTTATGGTGTATAAAGTTTATTCCCTGCCGCTCTAGCTATAACACATTAGCTTGTTTTTTAAGCAAGCAATGCGACCTGTACCTATATAACATTGTATATGCTGATCCTTATATCTTGAATGCCTTCTTGTCACCAACATTCTTTTAAAAAGAAGGATTCTCTTTTATTAGGATAAAACTGTTTTCTTGATGACAAATATTTTTCCAGGCATTGGAACAACTTTCCCTGTTGAAGGTGCTTACCACAGCATTTTCTCATTTCTGCTAAAGTGTCAGGGTAAGCAGTTAATGACAAGAAAATGACCATAGTAATTTCCGTTTCTAATTATCAACAGGTAAAGGAACTTAAACATTCAAACAAACTAGAAATAACAGACATCAAACTGGAAGCAGCAAGAGCTAAGAGTGATCTAGAAAGAGAAAGAAATAAGATTCAAAGTGAATTGGATGGTAATATATAATTTTCCATGCTTTTTATTTTCACATCTAAACTAAAATTATTAAAATAAATCACACTGAATTTTTATTTTCAGATTTTCAGCTTACTTGACTTTTAATGTTAGAGCACATATGGATTGTTTTTTGTTTATATGTTGAATGTTCATTTTGTAATCTAACTTTTTAAAAAAATCATGTTTATGTTATAGTTACTTGATTAATACATAAATTAAATGAAATTTTGCAGTGTGAATTCCATACTTCCTGAGTTTATAATTTTAAATCTATTTAGATCATCATGTGATTGTTAGTTGCAGGCCCAACTTTTACCTTTAAAAATATTTTTATGTAGACCCTGGCAGTGATTGAGCCTCATACAGCCTAAGCTTATTTTTAAGCTCCAGTTTACTGTTTAGAATGTCTTTCTCATCAGGATTCCTCAGAAATTATATTATTTCTGACTTTTCTTAAGTACTTAAATAAGCTGCCTTTGGCCTGTAATTATCCTTGAGTTGGTCTTCAGTTGAACTGGCCTCTGTAGTTTTAGACAGAACTTACGATGAATGATTGTTTTCATTATTAATTTCTACTTGATGTTGACTCATGAACTTACATATTTAGGCAGTAAATTTTCTTAGGAACTTATTGAGTTTGGGATCCAGTTTTGCATTTTTTTTTACTTTGAGTTACATAACAAATTTTAGCTATTTTATCTGCAAAATACTTGTCATCTAATTACAAGGAAGATTTATAAATTCATTTGACAAAATTGAAAGTTTCCAATTTATATTTCTACTAGAAATCTAACACCTCTGCTAGAATAATAGGTTTTGAAGAGTTCTATGATTTTATTCAGGCTGCCTCCGGCCAGCTTGATGATGGTGTTCTTTGTGGGTCTTAGGTTACAGAACCTTGGTAGGGGTGAAGTAGGTACTTAAACCTCTTTGGCTATCAGCCAGGTTGATATCCCTAGCTTTAAAGATTCAAATGAATAAATGTATGTAACCTTTTATTAACCTTTTGTGTGTGTATGCTAAATAAACTAATGACTGAAAAATTAACTCTGAGTTTTAGTTTCATTCTTAAGAAAGTTTATCAATGTAATAATCTTTGAGAATATATTTCTAGAGTGACTTACTTTCTATATTCTAATAGTTGTCTTATCAATTTATCAATGTTTGCTATTAAATGTGATTTTTCATCTTAATAAGATTGAGTATAGCACATTTTTCTCCTTAAAAAATACTAGGATTACAGTCAGATAATGAAATTCTCAAATCGGCTGTTGAACAGCACAAAGTGCTCTTAGCAGAAAAGGATCGTGAATTAATACGTAAAGTACAAGCTGCCAAGGAAGAAGGTTATCAAAAACTTGTGGTATTACAAGATGAAAAGTAAGTACATAATTACCTTTTTTTTTGCATTAAATCTCCTTGCAAATGAACATATTTTGCTGTCATATTATTCTTATTATAGTTCTTGTAACATAATTATCATTTGTTGTTTTAGGCTTGAACTTGAGAACAGATTAGCGGATTTAGAGAAAATGAAAGTGGAATATGATGTCTGGAGGCAGTCTGAAAAGGATCAGTGTGAAGAGAAATTGCGGGCTTCACAGATGGCAGAAGAGTCGGCCAGAAGAGAACTTCAAAGTATTAGGTTATATATTATATATGTGTGGATATATATATATCTTTTCAAAATTTCTTTTAAATTTCATTTTATTATTTAAAGTATTACAAATAGTAGTACATATGTCTCCTTTTTTTCCCCATTGATCTTCCCCCGGCCTCCCCTACTCCCTGGCACATGCCCTCACCCCCCCACCCCAGTGTCTTGTGTCCATTGGTTATGCTTATATGCGTGCATACAAGTCCTTCAGTTGATCTCTTACCTCCCCTCCCCAAATTCTCCCCAGCCTTCCTGCTGTAATTTGACAATCTGTTTGATGCTTTTCTGCCTCTGTATCTATCTTTTTGTTTATCAGGTTATAATGTTCTTTATTATCCATAAATGAGATCATGTGGTATTTTTCTTTCACTGACTGGCTTATTTCACTTAGCATAATGCTCTCCAGTTCCATCCATGCTGCTGAAAATGGTAAGAGTGCCTTCTTTTTTACAGCCGTGCAGTATTCCATTGTGTAGATGTACCACAGTTTTCTAAACCACTCATCTGCTGATGGGCATTTAGGCTGTTTCCAAATCTTAGCTATTATAAATTGTGCTGCTATGAACATAGGGGTGCATATATCCTTTCTGATTGGTGTTTCTGTTCCTAGAAGTGGCATTACTGGATCAAATGGGAGTTCCATTTTAAATTTTTGAGGAAACGCCATACTGTTTTCCACAGTGGCTGAACCAGTCTGCATTCCCACCAGCAGTGAAGGAGGGTTCCTTTTTCTCTGCATCCTCTCCAGCACTTGTCTTTTGTTGATTTGTTGATTTGTTGATGATAGCCATTCTGACAGGTGTGATGTGGTACCTCATTGTTTTGATTTCCATGTCTCAGATGATTAGTGACTTTGCGCATGTTTTCATGTACCTCTTGGCCTTCTGTATATCTTCTTTGGAAAAGTGTCTATTTAGGTCCTTTGCCCATTTTTTGATTGGATTGTTTATCTTCCTTTTGTTAAGTTGTATGAGTTCCCTGTAAATGGTGGAGATGAAACCCTTATTGGAGATATCATTGGCAAATATGTTCTCCCGTGCAGTTGGCTTTCTTGTTGTTTTATTGATGGTTTCCTTTGCTGTGCAGGAGGTTTTTATTTTGATGTAGTCCCATTTGTTTATTTTCTCCTTAATCTCTCTTGCCCTAGGATCTGTGTCTGTAAAGATATTGCTATGACATATGTCTGCATTTTTGCTGCCTATGGAGTCTTGTAGGATTTTTATCGTTTACCGTCTTACATTCAAGTCTTTTAGCCATTTTGAGTTTGTTTTTGTGTATGGTGTAAGTTGGTGATCTAGTTTCATTTTTTTTGCATGTATCTGACCAAATTTCCCAGCACCATTTATTAAAGAGACTGTCTTGACTCCATTGTATGCTCTTGCCTCCTTTGTCAAATATTAATTGAGTATAATAGCTTGGGTCAATTTCTGGGTTCTCTGTTCTGTTCCATTGGTCTATATGTCTGTTCTTGTGCCAGTACCAGGCAGTTTTGAGAACCGTGGCTTGGTAATATAGCTTGATGTCTGCTATTGTGGTCCCTCCAACTTTGTTCCTCTTTCTCAGGATAGCTGTGGCTATTCGGGGTCTTTTTTTATTCCAGATGAATTTTTGGAGAGTTTGTTCGAGATCTTTGAAATATGCCATTGGTATTTTAATATGTATTGCATTGAATCTATAGATTGCTTTAGGTAGTATGGACATTTTAATGATGTTGATTCTACCAATCCATGAACATGGTATGTTCTTCCATTTGTTTATGTCTTCCTCTATCTCTTTTTTCAATGTCCTGTAGTTTTCCGAGTACAGGTCTTTTACGTCCTTGGTTAAGTTTACTCTTATGTATCTTAATTTTTTTTCGTGCAATGGTAAATGGGATTGTTTTTTAATTTCTTTTTGTGAGTTCATTATTGGTGTATAAAAAGGCCATAGATTTCTGGGTGTTAATTTGTATCCTGCCACATTGCCAAATTCATTTATTAGGTCTAGTAGTTTTTTGATGGAGTTCTTGGAGTTTCCTATGTATAGTATCATGTCATCTGTGAATAAGGACAGTTTTCCTTCTTTTCCAATTTGGATGCCTTTTATTTCTTCATGTCTGATCGCTATGGCTAGTACTTCTAGTACTGTGTTGAACAGGAGTAGTGAAAGTGGACATCCTTGTCTTAGGTGAAATGGTTTTAGTTTTTCCCATTGAGTATGATGTTGGCTGTAGGTTTGTCATATAGGGCTTTAATTATGTTGAGGTATGATCTGTGGGATTGGTTGTTACTTCACCTCTTTCATTTCTGATTTTGTTTATTTGGGTCCTCTCTCTTTGCTTCTTGGTGAGCTTGGCTAGAAATTCATCAAACTTGTTTATCCTTTCAAAGAACCAGCTCTTGATTTTGTTGATCTTTTGTATTGTTATTTTTGGTCACTATGTTGTTTATCTCTGCTCTGTTCTTTATTATTTCCTTTCTTCTGCTTACACTGGGCATTTATTGTTGCTCTCTTTCTGACTCTTTGAATTATACGTTTAGATAATTTCTTACCATTTTTTCTTGTTTTTTGAGGTAGGCCTGTAGAGCTATGGACTTCCCTCTCAAGACTGCTTTCACTGTGTCCCGTAGATTTTGGATTGTTGTGCTTTCAATGTCATTTGTTGCCATGATGCTTTTTATTTCTTCTTTGATCTCTTTGGTAACCCAATCATTGTTTAATAGCATGCTATTTAGCCTCGAGGTGTTTTATTTTTTTAAATTGTTTTTATTGTAGTTGATTTATAGTTTTATGCCATTGTGATCTGAGAAGATGCTTGATATGATTTCTGTCTTCTTGAATTTGAAGAGACTTTGCCTGTGTCCCAGTATATGGTCTATCTTTGAAAATGACCCATGTGCACTTGAGAAGAATGTATATTCTGTGGCTTTGGAGTGAAGAGTTCTGAAGATGTCAGTTAATTCCATCTGATCTAGTGAATCATTTAGGATTGATGTTTCTTTGCTGATTTTCTGTTTAGAGCATTTGTCTAGTGGTGATAGTGGGATATTAAAGCCCCTACTATAACTGTATTGCTGTCAGTCTCTCCCTTGATATCCTCCAGAAGTTTTTTTTATGTATTTGGGTGCTTCTGTATTGGGTGCATATATGTTTACCAGAGTTATATCTTCTTGTTGAATTGCTCCCTTTAGTATTATGAAGTGGCCTTCCTTATCTCATGTTATGGCCTTCACTTTGAGGTCTAATTTGTCAGATTTAAGTATTGCTACCCCAGCTTTTTTCATTTCTATTTGCCTGAAAAACCCTTTTCCATCCCTTCACCATCAGTCTGTGTGAGTCCTTTGTTCTGAGGTGGGTTTCCTCTAGACAGCAGATATATGGGTCATGTTTTCTTATCCATTCAGCTACCCTTTGTCTTTTGATTGGGGCATTTAATCCATTTACATTTAAAGTTATTATTGAAAAGTATTTGATTGTCACCATTTTTTTTCTTTATGCCTTTGTTCCTTCTTCCCTTCCTATTTCTTCTTTTTACAACAGACCCTTTAGCATTTCTTGCATTGCTGGTTTGGTGGTGATAAACTTTCTTAGTTCTTTTTTGTCTGTGAAGCTCCTGATTTCACCTTCAGTTTTGCTTGATAGCCTTGCTGGATGCAGTATTCTTGGATTCAAACCCTTCCTTTGCATGACTTTCTATATTTCATTCCATTCCCTTGTGGCCTGATGTGTTTCTGTAGAGAAATCAGACACTAGTCTGATGGGGGATCCTTTGTTAGGTAACTTGCTGTCTCTCTCTGGCCTCTTTTAAGATTCTTACTTTGTTGTTGGTGTTTGCCAATTTAATTATAATGTGCCTTGGCGTCCATCTTTGGGGGTTTATTTTGTTTGGGACTCTGTGAGCTTCTTGGACATGTGTGAATTTTTTCTTCCCTATATCAGGGAAGTTTTCTGTCATTATTTCTTCAACAGGTTTTCTATTCCTTGCTCAGTTTCCTCTCCTTCTGACACCCTTATTATGAGGATGTTGTTTTGTTTCGTGTTGTTCCAAAGTTCCCTTAGGCCACCGGTTCTCAACCTGTGGGTCGCGCCCCCTTTGGTGGTCGAATGACCCTTTCACAGGGGTCGCCTAAGACCATCCTGTATATCAGATATTTACATTATGATTCATAACAGTAGCAACATTACACTTATGAAGTAGCAACAAAAATAATTTTATGCTTGGGTCACAACATGAGGAACTGTATTTAAAAGGCCAGAAGGTTGAGAACCATTGCCTTAGGCTCTCTTCTTGTTTTTTAAGTTTTTTTTCTATATCAGTGATGGCAAACCTTTTGAGCTCGGTGTGTCAGCATTTTGAAAAACCCTAACTGAACTCTGGTGCCATGTCACATATAGAAATTTTTCGATATTTGCAACCATAGTAAAACAAAGATTTATATTTTTGATATTTATTTTATATATTTAAATGCCATTTAACAAAGAAAAATCAACCCAAAAAATGAGTTCGCGTGTCACCTCTGGCACGCATGTCATAGGTTCGCCATCACTGTTCTAGATGCTGCTCTGCTTGGGTATTTTTTCCTGCCTTGTCTTCTAGCTCACTAATGCGGTCCTCTGCTTCTTCTAGTTTACTGTTGATGTTTTCTATTGAGTTCTTTATTGCAGTGATGTCATTTTTCCTTTCTTCTTGGTTCTTCTTCATTTCCTCTTTGTTCTTACACATATTATTGAATTTGTCTTCCAACCCTTTCAGTGACCTTATGACCATTTCTCTGAATTCTTTCTCTGACATATTGCTTCCCTCCATTTTATTTACTTCCTTTTCTGGCGATGCCTCCTTTTCTTTCGTACGCAGGCTGTTCTTTGTCTCCCCATGATCTCTCCTCTCCAGGAGTCTGGCTATGTAGCTCGCTCTCTCCTGTGTTGACTTTCACTAGGCAATATCTATCCTTTCCGTCTGCAGATTGTCTCACCAGCTGTGTTTAATTTGTCAATTCTGGATGGGTGTT